AAATTTTCAAATAGTTTTTGAAGTCGCACCAGCAGTTGGTGCAATCACACCACAAAAACACACACGGTCAATCGACTTGATGGGCCATTTAACAAATAAAGCATATTAAGAGCCGTAAACTTATCTATTTTGAACTATAGTAGTATAAAAACGTAAGGAACATACAATACATATATGTATGTATATCAGTCTTTCTTAGTTTAAAAATTCATCTCTTACATAGATAAAAAAATGATATCAAATTAAGCATATATAACTTTTTCATGCCAAGTATGAATAAACTCTCCAAAGGGCTAAAAAAAGGGCTAGGGGCAATTTTAAATTTATGTGGCCAAAAAAAGTATGTTGTAGCTAAATCTAGCCACCAAAGGGCTAAAACGGCAACACTGGTAGTAATAGCTTTCACCGAGGTGCACACAAACGAAAATTATTTAATCTAATTAGTTATCATATTAATTTAAAAACAAGTTGACATATGTATAAATATTATCTCAATCAAAATTCGTTTGTAAATCACCCCGTTTAGCTCTCAAATTTGTTGTACTGGTTTTCTCACGACTCAGGAAAAAATTCAATTTCTTCTCTATGCGGCTGTATTAGTTTTTTCTGCTGAATCATGCGCTTAAAATATAATTTTACTTAATATTTTATTAACATGCCTTTAAGAACTGCTTTCCCGTGCTAGTGTCCATTTTTTTTTTACTTTCCCATTTGATGGTTCATGCTTTAACAAAAAATATATAAATCACACTATCAAACTTTATACAGGACTTGGAAAAATTCCACAAATTTTTATATAAATTTCGAGCTTTTTAACCGGAATTTTTAGAATTTTTTTTTGGGTATGCAGTTAACATGCTTATAAATCTAATGAAACAAGTGCAAGTTTTGAGCGGCTAAAAAATCGCATTGATTTTTAATATTTTTTTTTTTGCTTTTACGGTATTTTTCTAGGTTCAGTATAAAGTTTGCAAGTCTGATTTATACAGTTTTTGTTGAAGCACGAACCATATTTTTATAAAAAAAAACATATCAAACAAATTTTAGCTTGAAAACCATCTTACATATTAAAGACAAAACAACATTCATCCATTTTTGACCAATGTATGTTTGTAAACCTCAATATTGTAAGCTTTATTGAAAACGTGTGGATATTTTAAGACATTTAAAACATATTTTTAACTTAAAATATCATTTTGCAATTATTTATGCAGTTAGTCTTGTTTACATCGCATCGCATCAAAATTACCATAAAAAATAAATAAAAATTTTGGTCAAAATGAAGTTCGAAACACGATTTTCGCACGCTGGCGAAGCAAGGCTTTCGATTTTGAAGTCCGGCTTTGTTTCAACGCTTCTTAAGGNTATGTTGTGCGATATGCTCTTCTTTACTTTGGGCATTCGCACAGTGCGGGGACAGCCACATCCACAAAATATGGATTTACTTTCAGCGGTCGGAATATTTCCCCCTTTCGTAGCTGCATTTCAGCAGGCCAATTATCACGACACCCATTCCATGATTACAAACAAGTTATTTGCATTAAAAATTTTAAACACCGAAACTTTGCGTAAATAGCCCCTAACTTAGAGTGGGTATGTTCACTGATTACTGAGAATGGTTGCCTTCAAGTCGTGTACCAAAACATTTGCTGTTGCTAAGTAGGCAGATGCTTAAAACTTTCACATTTTGTTGTCTCTTTGTTCGAATGAAAAACACTTAGCAGGGCTGAAATAGCAAAGTGTCTATATATGACACTAGCCAGCTGGTCAGAAAAAATACATTTGACATTTGTCTTTCAACACCTGTATAGCAGAGGCTGTTCATCCAGCTTTTGTCATCTAACTAATAAAATATTCGCATATTATATTTGCCATTTGCTCATGAGCTTCATCGTCTACTTTTTACACTTTATAATTGTATTTAAGTTTTCATTTGCATCTCAGCATTCTTTATGGTGCTTTTCGAGCTCAAGAGAACACGCGCCCGAAATAAATTTCAATTTAAGTTCATTGAAGCGATATTTAATTTTGAGATGCGTTGCTGCCCAAATAATACAAACAAAATATTTATATCTAATGGTTAATTTACCTACATTTTATTCGTTCACATATTGCAGACGCAAATGTATATACAGGGTGGGCCAAATAAGACCTACTAATGTCTTACGTATAACCGAATTATTTTTAACCTACTTCCAAAAAAAGGAGGAGGTCATCAGTTCGTCGGAATATTTTTTTTTTATGTAGTGTTACCGCATAACTTTGGACCACGTCAACCGATTTCGATAATACTTTTTGCATCGGAAAGGTAGTGTCTCATCCGATCATTGGATCATGAGATATATATACATATATTTTTTATATGAGAATTGAAGTCGATTTTTTTTGCTAAAAAGTAATTGTTAATGTTATTAGTATTTTTTTTTCTGCACTTTAGTTAATCTCTTGGAAAATTGTCGTGGATACTTGCAGAAATTGTGCAAGCACTGCTACCGCAAGACCACCAACAGCGACTGCAATATGCTACTCCTTTTACGCAATTAGCCACACAAATTGATTTTTTAGGTAATTTTTCGATGTCGGATGAAGCGCATTTCCATTTAAATGGTTATATCAACAAGCAAAACTGTAGATTGTGGGGCTCTGAAAGTCCAAGGGCATCCAGATGCACTGTTTGGTGCGGTATTTTGGCCATTTCTGGGGCTTCTTACGGAGCGATAATTGACAACTTTTTGCCGCAACACGGCAGAGCAGCATTCTTATTTGTGGTTCCAACAAGATGGAGCGACAGCGCACACTGCAAGCAAACTATGGGCCTGCTGCGTGAAATTTTCGGCGAACGATTGATTTCAAAAAATTCAGATTTCCCTTGACCACCTCGTTCGCCAGATTTAACTGCAGCCGACTATTTTTTACGGGGATATTTAAAAGACAAAGTGCTAATAAAGCAGAAACTAAATATTAGACAGCTGAAGCAGAATAATTGAGACGAGATACGGAGCGAGCCTCCATCCAGATACGCTGCGTGGCGTAATCATTTGTAGGTCTTACTTGGCCCACCCTATACGTATGTATATGTATGCATGTGTGTGTTGCAATTTATGTCAGAAGTTCAGCGATGAGTAAAATTTAATAAATAAAGTAATAAAATATGAATTTAAAAAAAAAAAACGATTGATTGAAATTCTTTATTGACTCTAAAAGCAGACATACAATTTTGTGAGAAGATGGCTAATGTAGATCGCACTAATTAATAATAAAACGGTAAATTGTTGTGTAATGGAGTGAGCAAAATTAGTGCGAGTAAACGAACGGCTAGTCTAAGAAAAAAAATAACATAATTTGTTTGAAGGTTTACAGTTTCTCCATTCGATTTAAATGCGATTTCGAGTTTTTTTAACAGAAAATGTAAGCAGGGAGTCATTTTAGAGTCAGAAAAATCTGAGTTTTGAGTTGTAACCCTCATTATGAGCTCAAAAAAGAGTCAGAAAAGAACATATATACCCTTCTTCGAAGGGCACGCTAATACGAGTCCAAGTTAGGAGTCATATTAGTCTTAAAAACAAATATTCTTTATAATTTTGATTATTAATAAACTTTTAGTTCTACGTGAACTTTGTTTTTTTTTTGTTCAACTCACAATTTATGACACGAAACGAGTCCGAAATGAGTCAATCTGCTTGACTGGTTTCAGAACCATATTATTTATGGCGAAAGAAATACTCATTTTAGACACACAAATTCTGAGCACTCAGATAATTGTTTAAAGGGTAACCCTGAACTTTTAAGCAAATTTTAAATTAAAGTTGTTGAAACGATGCAAAGAAATTTGATTCAAAGTGAACATTTGAAAACCAGTTCACTGTAGTTGAGTGTGCAGAGGTGCTCGCTATTATTCGCAAGGCTCCAACATATCCTAGGTTCGATTGCCGTTTGCCTCAACATGCATATGTGAAGTTTTTTTTTTATTTTTACTATTATGGAAAGGCACAAATCTCATTTATACATATAACGAAGTGTTGCCACTATCCAACGTACATTCATTCATAGATATGTACGTAAGGCGGTCCATTACTCACTAAAACCTATCAGAATTAGTTACAGCCTTTCATCAAAGACAAAAAACTTGGATATCTATTATGGCTTGTAATCACTTCCTAACTAAAATGTCCGATAGGCCTATCACTTGCTAATTTTTTCTTGTTCTTTTTATGCTACTTTCTATCAGCAATTGTTAACTGATATTTTATTATTTTTCATATTATTTTATTATCTATTATATTATTTTATTATATTTCATATTATTATATCATTTTATTACTTTTATAATATTTTATTATTTTTTATGCTATTTTATTATTTCTCATTATGTTTTATTATTTTTCATGTTATTTTATTACTTTTCATATTATTTTATAATTTTTTATATTATTTTATTATTTTTTATATAATTTTTTTATACATTATTTTATTATTTCTTATATTATATTATTTTTTTAATATTAATTTATTATATTTTATATTATTTTGTGATTTTGCATATTATTTTATTATTTTTTATATTACTTTACATATTATATTTTAAATTATTTCGTATTATTTTATTATATTATATCTGTTATATTATTTGACAATATTTCAATACATTTATATTATTTTGTTTAGTTATAAATATGTTTTCATTTTTTTATTTTACTTTTTTATTATACATTTCCAAGTATACAAACGCTTTTGCAATCATTTATTGGCAAATTTTTATTAATTACTTTTTTATTTTCTTTTAACTGTATTTATTTTTAAGTTTTTCGTTTTGAATTCTTTTAATTAATATCATCGATTTCAAATTGTTCGCGTTCACTTTTTATCTATACACTATTTTCTCGGATAATTTTGCACGGAATTTCACACGCGTCAATACATTCTCGCATACAACTCGAATATTGTCCGTCCAACATTTATACATACAAAATAACGTATGGAATAAATAGAAATCTTCGTACTTACCTTATAACGTAATTCACGCAAACGACACTTTGAGGTTTTAGTTTGTCATAAACAATTGTGGCTTGTGTCACGATCCAACAGTAACCACCATATTTACCCAGGAATCTATAACGGCAAGTCTCGCCTTGGCCTTTGCCCAATACTGAAAAACAGAGAGAGAAAACTTAATTATAGGCACATCATATATTTATATGTGTATGTGTTTACAATATATTAGATAGATCGTTTAGATAGCACAAATTGTTCATTTTGCAATATGATAGTCTTACTAATAGTTGCTTGGAAAATTGTTGCTACTAAATGCCTAAGTATACGAGTACGATTTATTGTGGTTTTGTGCGGCCTTGATAAGCTAAATTACGCAGTTAATATTTTTTTTTTAAATTGAGCATAAAAAAATGTTTGAAATCTACTGACTGCTATTAATATTTTATTATCTTCCAACATCTTCACAATAAATACATACATGCATTTGTACAAAAACACGTTTGTATGTGGTATTTGCGTAAGAGGTGTTGGATGACGTCCTTCCGTCATCTAGTATGCATAATATGTATGTGTGCAAAATACTACACTGTAAGAAGAAGCGCATAGATCTTCCAATAGCAGCATTTTTTCAAGTAGGCTCTAAGACGAAAAAATACGAGAAGCGCTACAGGAATTTAATTAAAATTAAAATATTTAATCTCCATTTTTAAATGTGCATTGCCGTTCGATGCTGGAAGTAGCGCAATTAAAAATGTTAATCTTTGCTTTATTCGAGTACATTAAATTCCAAGCTGGCACATTTGGCTGGGTAATTTCAAATTTTGAAGAAAATTTACCACCAAAGGGAAGCTACAAATAAAGGGCTGCTGCCAATGAGACCACGAAACGAGTGATGACCCTAAACCCGATTCCAATATGATGCTTACTTAGTTGCGAGGCACAACCACAAAGTGAACAGATGCAAAGGCATTTATTAGAGTATGCGATTTGATACAATCCGGCAAGCAAATTAACCATAAAAGCTTATGAAATTTGGGAAATAAAGAAAAGAAAAATAAAATGTCGTGCCGGTACTTTATATGATACGGGTGGAACACTGTAAAAATTAATTTATTTTAATTACTAGCACATGCGAAAAAGTCTATGGGCATAATTAAATACATTTAAAAACCCCTTCCAATTGAAAGTACGAACAATGCCTCCGCAAATACGTGAGCGCGAAGAGGTTGAGATGCTGGCCGGCAGGAAAATAGCGCGAAAATTTTACCATAGAGTTAGGCGACTTACGGAAGGTTTCAATTCCAGGGCGAACAATGCCAGTAAGAACAACCATGGCGACCTAGTGACCGATGTCCAGAACGTGCTTAAATTATGGAGGGAACACTTTTCCACGCTACTTAAGGGTAGCAGCACTAAAGGCTGAGGAGTAGACCACCTGGAGCTCCCAGTCGATGGTGATGGAGTCGATGTTCGACCGCCTGTCTATGACGAGGTACGCTGCTGGAGCTGACAGTCTGCCAGCTTAGCTTTTCAAGTACGGTGAGGAGGAGTTGATAAGGTGCATGCATAAGCTCTTATGCAGACTATCGACAGCTGAACGAATGCCCGCACTCTGCCCAATCCACAAGAAAGGCGACCCCGCCATACGCATCAGCATAGGTTATAAGGTCTTATCGAGCGTATTGTGTGAAAGACTGAAGCCCACCGTCAACAAATTGATTGGGCCTTATCAGTGTTGCTTTGGGTCTAATGTATCCACCAGAGACCAGGTATTCAACATACGCCAAATATTACCGAAAATACCCACCAGAAAGGGATCGACATTCACCATCTATGTAAATATATTTTCTACTTTTAACCGACTTTCAGAAAAGGAGGAGGTAATCAGTTCGTCGAAATATTTTTTTTTTTATGTATGTTACCGCATAACTTTGGACCACGCCAACCGATTTTGATAATTCTTTTTGCATCGGAAAGGTAGTGTACCAGAGGTGGTCCCATACTGACCATACTGGTCTGAGTTTAGATCCGATCATTGCATCATGAAATATATATATATAAATATATTTATATTTATATATATATATTTAAGCCTGTTTTTTTTTGCTAAAAATTACTTGATAATATTTGAGAATTGATGTCGGTTTTTTTGCTAGATACTACTTGTTATCCATATTTTATTTATTTTTATACATGTATGTACGTACATAGAATTATCATATTTTTGTAATATTTGTATCATTTGGCATTCAAAAAATTTAACCATTTGAACGAACCCAACCGCGGTTCAGAAATACCGGTTCTTGAACTTTTTTGTAATTGGTTCGAACCACTGAACCGTTATGTTATATGGTATATGTATGTAGCTGATGTACTTTTAAAACACTGTTTTCGTCTTAAATTGTACAAATGTTTTCTTCAATAAATATCTCAAATATGTATTAAACAAAAAAGTTTGAGAACAAATTTAAGTCCAATATTCGCCCAATGCCAGCGTCAATGCCATTGCCAGTGCCTAAGCGATCCCTTCATTATTCTGTCATTTCTGCTCTCATTCAGTCACTCAGTCGCATTCGGTTTTTTCATTTACAAAGTTATTTTCACATTTAAACCATTTTAAGCGGAAAACTTTCACTGCATAGTGGATGTACTACGTACAAGTATGTATATTAGTATAGCCACAGAAAAAATGTTATTACCACTATCGTCTGCTAGAGCAGCAACAGCAACATCAACGACATCACCAGCTTTTTGGGGTCAATGCACATAAATGTTCTGGCAGTCATTCTGACGAAAATGAATTTCTTGTTGAAGCCGGTGGCGTCGACTAAGTGGAAGCGGATGCAACGGCAGTGGTGCGATAGCGCAATCCAGGATGTTCTTGCATAGCCCGTCCCCGGAATACCGGTGTGCCGACATGCCGCGGATGCATTGTAGTATTTATGGCATTAACCATTGCTAAGCTGCTCGCATAAAAAGAGAAAAAAAAACAAGCGGAATGCAGCAAGCAAACAACACAAAACAATACAACACTTTGCCATGAACTTGTTGTGTCCTTTAGCCAAGGACTTTTCCGGATGGCAGCACGTCTCAAGGAAAGAGCATTAGTTCTTGCCGAGCTGGCGTAGTGTTGTGGAAAAGAACGTAGCTGTTGCCAAAATTTATGAACATACGCTACGCAATATTCAATGCATCTCGCGCCAGAACGGGTAAAAGACGACGAAGAACACCGTACTGAGCAAAAGTCGAAAGGAGATAAGAGTTGCAGAGAATGCAGAGTAGTTCTTCGAAAGCCATATAGACTATTTCAATGTTGGGCGATAATGTATATAAACCACCACATATGTATGTATGTAAGTATGTACGATTGGGTACTTGCATGCAGCATTGTTGGCGGCGAACAAACCAGCATCGAATGGGAAAATCACAGCAGCAGGCAAATTGCACTGCAAAACCAGCAAGGAAATCAGACTCACAAACGCGAAAAAAACAAAATACGACTAATACGGTGCAGACCTACATATGTTCGAGGATCCCTCCATTAATGCCCAGGCGGATCGTAAAATACTTAAGTACCAGTTGTAGCAAAGAAACGCATATATTTTAAACAGAAAAGACGGCATAAAAATTGCGGAGTTGTGAAATATTCTTGACTACCTTTGTTTTCAACACAGCGGCGATTAAACAACTACGGAGCTGCACAAATCTAGTGCCGGAACCGTCAAATGCGGACCACTAAAACTTATAGCTCCCATACAACTGATTGCTCATTTTAGTTCTCGGTCCTGGTTGACCATTCTGGGGAAATGCTCACATTTATTTTATTAGCAAACAACAAACTGCGAAAGATGTACTTATGTATGTGCATAAATATATATATATATATATACGTAAAAAATTGGCGAAAAATATCCAAAGCCCAATAGAAACGTAGTACTTTGAATACCGGGTGACCTTCGGATCTCTTCCCGAATGGAGTGCCCATTTTCTTGGCCGCACGTGAGACCTAAAACTGGACTTCGGAGCACAGTCTAAGATTTGACACATCTAATTAATTAATTAATCCCAACGGCTTTTTACCCTCCATTCCCGCCCAACCGACACGAGGGGCGTAGTCCGCATGAAGTACGGAACCTTTTTTTTTTAGCTGCTTTTAATTCTGTAATTCGAAAACTATTGAAGGTAGATTAATGAAATTTTGCACCAGGTACATTATAAGATAGGAGAAGCGAATTGGTCATTTAGAGTTACCGTCACGCCACCCTATTATATAATTGCAATTTTTAAAAAGACAAAAACTGAAATATTGAACTAAGTACAAAGGCTAAAATGCCCAAAATTGATATTTAGTATTTCCCTATAACAAGGAATTATAAACTGACAGATATGGACTTAAAAATAAATATATTTTTTTTTTTATGGGGGTGGAAAATATCGATAAAAAGGTCAAGTTGGGTAAACAAAATTCCATCATAAGTTTAAGTGCTCCATTGGAAAAGGTAATGAATCACGCTTTCTCTATTCAAAGCCAAAATACAAGAATTACTCGAAGAAAATGAAATTCCTAGTAAGCCTGAAAAAATAAAATTTCATCAAAAACTGCACTTTCCACCAGCTAAAATTATGTTTTCTAAAGTCTAAGAGGAGTGGCAAATAAACTGAGATACAAACTTTACGAACGAATAGTGACGGATAACGAGTTTGCGGGTCTAATGAAATTAATAAATTGCTAAAAATAAATTTAAGTTAACATCGTTTTACTTTAACATGAAATACTCAGTGCTAGTTTACTAAAATCCCAAAAATGTATATAATAAAGAACGTACCTAAAAATATAAGACCAAAATTGTATTTGAGCAATTTTTGCATAAATCATATAACGCCGACAAATTAAACACTGAGACTCAGTTTCAAATATACAAGTTTAAATAATATTTCTTGCGCACTTTTACTATTTATTTATTCATTAATTTACACATACATATGTATGTGTGTGACGGTAGGAGGTTTAGTTCGGGTTAAAGTCTCACAATGACGGGGTACACAGGCTTTCGAAGCTTCCTCTTCATAAACAAAAAAAAAAACATTAATGTATGTACAAACAACATACAATGACTCAAACAAGTGTTCACGTAGTGATTTTTTTTTTTAATATGCATAACGTTTTCAAGTTAATTTTATTTATTTTTCTATAAAATAATTTTCCAAGCTTTGACCAAAACCATATAAATTTCAAGCTTTATGCATAATTTAGTAAAATTCAACAAATTGTAATCAAAATTTCGAGCTTTTTAATCAAGACTCTCTACATTTTTGGATAAGCAGTATTATAGCCCCTACAATTTAAGTCCCACGAAGATTTTTAATAATGTTTTGTTCTTGCTGACGGATTTTTGTACTCTTTCCATATAAGCATGAATTTCTTATGAAACAAGAGAGTTTTTGTAAATAGGACTTCAGCCATCGCAAAAGCAGTCACCAAAAAAAAATCTTTAAAATCAACGGGATTTGTAGTCGGTTGAAACGTGCACTTTATATCTCGAAATGTTCTAATAATTCAGATTATAAAGCTCGAAATTTTGATGAAAAT